AGGAGGAGGGTTGGATTAAGTAGTGGAAGCTATGTTCATGTTGGTGTGTGTGTTTGCCTTAGTTTTCGTCCTGCAATCCGCCTGCGAATTATCTGGTTTGTTTGGTATCACCTTCGGTGTTGTTGAAGGTGTTGTTGAAAGCGTCACATCCCGCAACAATGATTCCGGTTTTGAGGCTTTCCCTTCTAATCATCCTGTTGCATTTTTCAAATACTCCTTTTGTGGCGTTTTTCCATGGGAACCCTCAGTAGTGCTTTCCCGAATATGTTTGGTGCTTTCCAATCGGATTGCGGGGTTTTCCAACGTATTTCTTTTGTGACGTTGTCCTATAGGAACCCGCAGTAGTGATTTACAAACCATTGTTTTTGTGAGGCGTTCCAATCGATACATTTTGCGTTCTCCAAAGGGCTCCGAGAGTGAGGCTTTCTTAGCGAATATTTCTGCTCAGTGTTCCAGGGGGCGGGGATATGGCAGGGCCCATAGATGGGCCCGCTTCAGGATGAAATGTATGATTCTAGGGGGTAGCGTGGGTGGGCGTTTCCGCCCTCCTCCGCCTCCTCGTCCTCCTCATTTTAAACGAAGGCCAGAACTTGAGAGACAAATAAACGTCAGAACACAAAAACAACGAATTATCCTGGCGGATGGCCAAATCACATGCAGTTATGAGTGTCGCCGTTGTGCGTATCGCCTTCCTTGGATCTCTTGATGGGGCCACGAAGCGTGTAAAGGGTGTGCCGGAATGTGGCGGGGACGCATTCGGGCGCAGCCATTGCGGGCTCCATTGGCGCTCCATATGGGGGCACGAAACGTGTGAGGGGTGTGCCCAAATGGAGCGAGGCCGCCATGCAAACGTCGCAACTGGGGCCTTCGGTGAAGCTCCCTATGGTGCCTCGAAGCGCTGTAATGCGTGGGGGAGACGCATGCGAACACCGCTGGTGGGGCCCTCGGTGGAGCTCCTTATGGGGCCACGACTCGTTGTACTTGTTGGGGGAGATGCATGCGAACGCCGCCGTAAAACAACCATTGGGCACATTGACGCGAGCACAGTTGCACTCGTGATAGCCAATTGTGAGCAAACACAAACAATAAAGCTTCCACAGGGAGTGCGGGGATTTCCTTGGTTGTCCGACAGTTTCTGCGTCCATCTCTCTAGTTGTTTTGTTTTGTTTGGTTGTTCCTTTGTTTGTTTTGCTGTTTCTTGTTTTTATCTTGCTTCCCACCGCCAACATACGCAATACAGATGTACATCGCCAACACGAAGGCGAAGACGACCGCGACGGCGACCGCGACGACGACGACGACGACAGCGACGACGGCGACGACGACGACGACTGGAGCGCTTTCGGCCCGCCCCTTGCTAGGCCTGTATACCCAAACATATATTTAGATAAAAATGCCCCCCCCACTATGCGTAGCAAATGGGATCGAGCCCCCCCCCCGTCCGCTAGCGTCGCAAACGCCTTGCGAATGGGATCGTTCCCCCTCCCCCTGCTGTCGTGTTGGGTGGGTGCCAGGTTGTGGTGGCGTGGTGGTGGGTGCCCGTGCCCCAGGGTGTGGGGTGGTTCGTCGTCGTCGTCGTCCTCGTCGTCGTCTTCTTTCTGTCAGCGTCAGCGACAGCACCGGCGTCGGCGCCGGCGTCGGCGTCGGCGTCTGCGTTGGAGGCGGCGGCGGCGTCGGCGTCGGCGTCGGCTTCGTCGGCGTCGTCGGTGTCGTCGTTGTCGTCGGCGTCGTCGTCGTCGTCGCCCCCCTCCCCATCCCATCTTTGGGGAGCGGGGAGTGCTGTGGAACCCAGGGGCCCATCCCATCTTGGGGGAGGGGCTGTGGACCTTCGACCCGGGATCATACATATCTTCCCCCAGGCGTGGCGTGCGGCCCACGGGTGCCCCAGAATCCCCAAGACAGCTCCGACGAGCTCCCAGGATGCTCCAGGGACGCCCCGTGCAGGCCTCCAAGAGGCGTCACGGACGCTCTCCATGACACTCCCTCCTCATCCCCCTTCTTCCTCTTGCACTCCCTTTTCCTTTTTGCTTCCGCCACGCCCTTCGTTTCCTTCTCCCCCCTCCGTACCCGTCCTCCCTCCCCTCACGCCACTCCTTCGTTCTCCATCGCTGTTCATCCCACCCCGCCTCCTCTCCTGATTCCACACTCCCTCTTTGTCCTTTCCCCTTCCCTTCACTCGCGGGCAGAGCGGAGGCAGGGAGCGACAGCGGGGTAAAATCCAAGTCCCCAATACGTATGTAGGACTTGTTTCAAACATAGACGTACGTGTCTCCCAGCCTGGATACCGAGCCGGAGGGCGTTTTTAGCCACTAACGCGTGGGCTTCGAAGCCAAGGGCCCGATCATCCAGACAGGTCCCTTCTGGCGCACCATGCTCTACGTTGGCCCGGTGGCAAGCAAAGCTTGAGGGCGCCCGAGGCGCGCTCGCGATGGTTCTAGCATGCGCACGTACACACATTCACAAGCGACACGCGCTTGCCCCGGTCTATGCAAAAAAGTAGTGCGAGATGTGTGTGTGTGTTAGTGTGTGTGTGTGTGTTTGTGTGTGTGTGTGTGGGGATGCTGTGCGTGAATCGGCTAGCAGCCAGGCCCGCCCTGCCACGACCGAGCAAGCGTGAGCGTGTGCGTGTGTCTATTGTTGTGTGTGACGCGCGCGTGTTGTGAGTGTCTTGTGCATCTTGTGTGCGTTTGGTGTGCTATGTGTGCGTTGTATATGTGATGTGCGCGTGTGGTGCGCGTGTGTGTGTGTTGTGTGTTGTGTGTGTGTGTGTGTGCTGTGTGTGATGTGTGTGCTGTTTTGCGTGCCGTGCGATGTATGCGTGTTGTAGGTGTTGTATGTGTTGTGTATGTTAGGGGAGTGCTCTCTGCGTGTTTGTGTGTAGTTTGCGTGTGTGTGAGAGAGAGTTTGTGTGCAGTGTACATAGGCTATCATGTAAGTCATGTGGGCTGTGGGTTATGTCTGTTATGTGTGGGATGTGACTGTGGATTGTGTCTGTGGTGTGTTCTTGTTGTGTGTTGTGTGTGGGGAGGTTTCGTGTTACGTGTGTTCGTGTGTGTGGGTGTGTCTTGCGCGTGTGTGTGTGTGTGTGCACATTTGTTTTCTGTATGTGTGTTCCACGTCGGAGCTCGATGTGGCAAGGATGTCTCAGGCGAAACTGCGTTGTTATAGGAAACGTGCGCGACATCATTGAAACCCATTGTGTGCTTGAAGGCTTTATGCTAAGCTGCTAGAGGAAACGCGGTGCTTTCTGTCAATAACGTCGCGGTTTGCGTGAGGTGTGCCAACTTTTTTTGTTTTGGGGGGGATTGACAATGTCTCCAGCGAAATGGCCAGAATAAGTTCAAGCGGATTCAACCAATCGTCGCTGAGCTCTGCTTTTTCGGGGTGGTGCGCATGAGAATAGACGTGCATGTGAACATAGGCATGTAAAACCTATCTATCTCTCTATATATATATAGATAATGTACATTTATATACTTACACATCGACTTGTATATACAAGCAAGGGTGTCAACGGTCCAGTCCCACTTGGCTGCGTCGCGTCGCAGTCAGTTTCGCTTGGCCGACTGGGTTCGGTTGCTTGCCGCGTCGCTCCTGCGTCGGCGCGTCCGGCTTCCATCCGCGTTCGTTTGATTCGGTTTCGGTAAATTTCGGTTCCCGTGTCGGTCCGGTCGGTTTTGAACTTGGGTGTCGTTGTGGACGGGTGGGTTCGAAGAGCCTTGCCAGGAGCCGCACTAGTAGGGTTGGGGTCTGCCAAATCACACGGGTAACCTGAGGTGGCCTGGCCTACAGAGAACGCCACATTGGACGCAACCATCTCAGCTTTTGCCTCCCAGCTTCTCGCCCCCCATTCTCCCTCCTTCTTACGTTCGGCAGACTTCGGCGGGCCTCGTAGCGTTGTGCAGATTGACTCCGATTGGTAAAACATTGGCCCTGAGATAATCGCGCGCCTCACAATATCATGGCGCAGCAGAGTGCCGAGAAAGTGAGAATAGAGACGATGCAACGTGGAACAGGGAGACGCTCGCAAGGGAGCTTAATCAGGATGTCCTGACTGAGAAGGCACACGCAAGGCTACCCCCATCATCACCCACGAACCCTCCCTAAAACAAGGGCCCTCATCGAGGGCATTTCTTGCCCTCAATGCTAGCAGCGGGCAATCAAACTGCTTGCGCTAATCCTTCTGAAACTGTCGCTGGCCTGATGCCACTCAAATGCGAATGCGGTGCCGAGGTATACACGCATAGAGGGCTGGCGAACGTACCTTCTGACATGCAGATGCTGATGCTCTCTGTCAATGCCCCCTCCCTCCTCACTTATCCCTCCTCCTCCTCCTCCCCCTCCTCCTCCTCCTCCTCCTCCCCCTCCTCCTCCTTCTTTTTCCTCCTCCTCCTCTCCTCCTCCTCCTCCTCCTCCTCCTCCCTCTTCCCTCCTCCTCCTCCTCCTCCTCCCTCCTTGTCCTTATCCTCCTCCTCCTCCTCCTTCTCCTCCTCCTCCTTCTCCCACCCACCTTCCTTATCCCTCCCTGCTTCCGTCTCCGCCTCCTCCTCCGCCTCCTCCCTCCACCCTCCTCCTCCTCCTCCTCCTCCTCCTCCTCCTCCTCCTCCTCCTCCTCCTACCTCTCACCCATCTTCCTCCTTTCGCTTTTTTCCTCCCTCCCCTCCTAGTTCCCCTTCTCCTCCTCGTCCTCCTCCTCTTCCTCGTCCTCCTCCTCCTCCTCCTCTCCTCCTCCTCCTCCTCATCCTCCCCCTCCTCCCCCTCCTCCTCCTCCTCCTCCTCCTCCTCCTCCTTCTCCTTCTCCTCATCCTCATCCTCATTTCTCTCCCCTTCCTCCTCCCTCCCTCCTCCTTCTCCCTCCTCCCTCCTCCTCCTCCTCCTCCTCCTCCTCCTCCTTTTTCTTTTTTGCTCCTCCTCCTCCTCCTCCCTCCTCCTCCTCCTCGTCCACCTTCCCCCTTCTCCTCCTCCTCAGTCAAAACCGCCCCTGCATCGTCGACCCCGAGGTACTGCCTGCAGGCGGCCGCCGCAGCAGCAGAGGGCGGCGGCGGCCTCGGCGGCCAGCTGGGCAGCCCGAGCCCGTCGCAGCAGTGCGGCAGCTGGCGCTCCGGGGCCCAGCAACCTGCCTTTTTCGGGGGCGGCGAAAGTCCTCCTCCTCCTCCAGCTCCTCCTCCTCCTCCTCCAGCTCCTCCTCCTCCTCATCCTCATCCTCCTCCTCCACCTCCTCCTCCTCCTCCAGCTCCTCCTCCTCCTCCTCCTCCTCCTCCTCCTCCTCCTCCTCCTCCCCCTCATCCTCATCCCACCCCCCCTTTCCGTCCTCCTACTTTTCCTCAGTTCTCATCCGCGTCATCGTCTTCGGGGGATCCCTCGGGGGGCCGCCCAGAGTGGCACGCGCCCGGCGCGCCCCTGCGCGCGCCGGCAGATCCCGGAAATTGTCCTTGGGGCGCGATGTTCAAGCAGTGGCGAAGCGCCCTGGCGTGCCCATAGGCCTACCAAATAATGTTCTAATAACCCTTGGTGGTCCCCAAGAAATGCTCTTAGAACATGTCTGGCTGGGACTGCTTTGTTTTAGCACCTCGGGCTTGTGTTCTAAGGACATTGCTTTTGTTATTAGAACATTGTGGGGCTCTAAGAACATGTCGTGGTAGTCTTATAGAAATCCCTGGACGGTCGGTCTCTGCTCAAAATCTGCCCTTTTCGGGGGCGGCGAATGGATGTACGAAGGTCAATTCGACGGGAACGGTACGGCTTTGTATTGCAAGCATTGCGGCAGCAGGTACATCCCGATGCGCGGAGCAGGCCACGAATGTCCTGCCACATGGATTAAGGGGGGGGGAGGAGCAGGAGGAGGAGAAGGAGGAGGAGGATGAATAATAATAGTACTAATTCACAAATACCATCAATCATACGAGCACGACAAACAATGATCATACTAATAATAAGAAGAAGACGAATAATAATAATAATGATAATAATCATAATACTAATACTAATAAGAATAATAATAAGGAGAAGAAACAGGAGGAGGCGCCCCGCCACCGCTGAGGAGGCGACCCGCGCTCGCCCGTGAGATGCTCCGAGAAGACTAGCCTGCATTGCTGATCCGGCTGTGCGGCTTGGACCTCTGCTCGAGGGGGGGTGGCGGAAGGAGGAGGGGGGGCAACAACCTCTGCTGGCCTCCGAGCCCAAAGGCGGCGCCCCCGTCGGAGGTGGCCCAGAGGGCTCGTGGCACACGGTGTCGGCCTCGCGCGTGCGGTCTTCCCGCTTGCGCACGGCAAGAGCCGACGGCCTGGCCGGCAAGCGGCGCTATGGCCCCCGTGCGGGCTAGAGCTTCCGGATCCAGAGTTCGCTGCCTCTCCCGAGCGGAGGGGGGGGCCTCGAGACGGGGCTCCATGAAAACGGGGGTCAGCCAGGGCGCCGGATCTTGCAGGATCCTGCAGAGCCAGGGTCGCACTGACCCAGGCTTGCGCGCAGGATCCTGCAAGGCCTGACTGGCCCGGGCTTGCACTGACCCGGGACCGTGGGTCCTGGCCTCAGGGCCCAGAGGCGGTGCCCCCGTGGCAGGCAAGGGACGGTCGGGACGGAGCACCCCCTCCGTCCCCAGGCGCGAGTAGGCGGACGGGGTCCGAGAACACCAGTCTCGGAGGAGGGAGCGGCGACACCACTACGACCAGGGGCGATCGCCCCCAGCTGCGGTCTCGAGCCGGGAATGGGAGATGATCTCTAGCGCGAGACCGGGGGAGACCATACCACCAGAAGGGCCTTCCCTGGCGCCCCCCCGCTGATGGTGGTGGGGTCGCGCCGGCGCTTTTTGGCCATACCGCTCGAGATACGACCTACTGGAAGATGGCTATACCAGATGTTCGGGTTGGACGCGCGCCTCCAAGGAGACCATCTAGTACTAGTAGGTCTCTGTGCCGCGTGGAAGGGGCCCGTGCCGCTTTGCGCTCCTGGAAAAAGAGGCCCTGGCGTCCACCAGAGAAGAGAAAATTCCATAAACATAAACTCTTGGCGCGCCGCGCGGATTTCTTGGATCCGCGCTGGGCCCCCTGGCGGCGCCTCTGGCGCCGCCCCTGGTGCGCTCCGCGCGCCAGGGAGGGGGGCCCAGCGTGGATCCAAGAAATCTGCGCGCAGCGCCAACAACAATTCTGTTTGCAGCGTTTTTTCTTCTTCTAGTCTTAGGTCGGGCGTGTCCCTCTACAGGAGGAATCTTCAAAATAGTAAGCAATAGTCTGGGGACGATTTTTTGATTATTTGTGGTCAATGTGTATATGTTGGGCAATCTTTAAAATTAGTCGTCCAAGATACGCCTCTAGGGGGACATACCCGACCTATTCCAAATCCCTTATCAATCATCCCCCGGGTCCGGTTTACTAGGGCGCCTTTGTTGTAGTTGGGGGGGGGTCCGGTTATTAGGGCGTTTTCTTTGGATTGGAGCTCAGGGGGTCTGGTTTATTCAGGCGCCCCGAAGAGGGGGGTCCGGAATACCAGGTCGCATCTGGAGGGGGTCCGGTTTTTAGGGCGGGGGTTCGATAAAGAAGGGTTCTGGAGTGATTCTAGTTCCCGCCCCCCCCCGGGAGGGCGGGGCGCCTGTGGCGGCAGGAGGAGGAGGAGGACTCCTTTTCCTCCGGAGCCATGAGGGTTCTGATGTTCCAGCCTGCCCCAGCCTCGACCACCAGGAGGAATCCCGAGCACCAAAAAAGTACCGACGGTCGATCCGCTCGGGGGCCGCAGGCTCGCGCTGCGCCTGAAGCTGCCGAGGATCTCCTTCCTGGTCCTGGGCGCACGGGCGGCGGCGGCGACGGCACTCATGCGGGGCGACAGGCACGCCCTGCCCAGGACCCGCCGAGCGCGGGGCGGCCGGGCCCCCTCCTCCCTACTCCTCGCTCCCTCCTCCTCCTCCTCCTCCTCCTCCTCCTCCTCCTTCTCCTCCTCCTCCTTCTCCCCTCCTCCTCCTCCTCCTCCTTCTCCTCCTCCTCCTCCTCCTCCTCCTCCTCCTCCTTCTCCTCCTCCTCCTCCTCCTCGCTCCTCCCTCTTCTCCCTCCTCCTTCCTCCTCCTCCTCCTCCTCCTCCTCCTTCTCCTCCTCCTCCTCCTCCTCCTCCTCCTCCTCCTCCTCCTCGCTCCTCCTCCTCCGTCCTCCTCCCTCCTCCTCCCTCCTCCCTCCTCCTCCTCCTCCACCTCCTCCTCCTCCTCCTCCTCCTCCTCCTCCTCCTCCTCCTCCTCCTCCTCCTCCTCCTCCCTCCTGTCTCCTTCTCCTCCTCCTCCTACTCCTCCTCCTCCTCCTCCTTCTCCCCCTCCTCCTCCTCCTCCTCCTTCTCCTCCTCCTCCTCCTCCTCTCCTCCTCCTCCTCCCCCTCCTCCCCCTCCTCCTCCGCCTCCTCCGCTCCTCTGCGTTATGAATAGTGTTTCCCTGTCGCACCCAGAGGCTGGTCGAAAGGGCGGGCCGGGCGTTTCGCCAGAGACTTCCCCACCACTTCTGACCCTGAAGCTTAAAGCTTGGCAACAGCTTCGTAGATGGAGGGCGGGTGGTGTTCAAAAGTTGGCTCTCGCCGTTTTCGCCCGGCCCGATCCCCCCCACAGCGCTATTCGCATCCACGTCCACTTCGTGAGGCCAGGCTCTCCAGCAGCCCCCGGGGGGTGCGGGCGGCTGGTCCCTTTTTTTTGACGCTGCCGCCCGCTGGAAGCAACGACGAGCAGCCTGGGGCACCGACGAGCGGCTGGAGCGGCTGGAGATCGAGAGTTGGGTCGACCAGCACGGGCGGAGCGGACGGAGCCGGCGAGTTCGAGGCAGAAGGCACCAGCAGGCGGCCAGACCAGCCAGAACGGAGGGGGAGACAGAGCGAGAGAGAGAGAGAGAGGGCCGGCTGTGTGCCACCACGACGGGGTCTGCAGTGCGAAGACGAGGCCGAAGGTAACCCCGTGGGTGACCAAGAGGCTCCAGCTGGGAGGTTCATTACCAGCCTGGAACATATCCCGATCCCTATGTCGGGCACCTCCTCATCACGATGCCAATCTTAGGGATTCCCTCATTTTTTGAGGGCGAACCCCTAAGACTGTCATCGCCTTTTGGCGTGTCGATCTTAGGGATCGGGATACGTTCGAGGCTGGTGAGTTCAGGCCCCGCTGCCCACCAGAGCCTGGCGGGCCCAGGAGGCGGCGGGGGGGGGGGCGTGCGAACGGCGGGAGGAGGGCCGGCGCCCGAGGTGGGGCACCGCTCGCGGTCGGCCCGGCCCTGCCTCTCCTACACGAGGCGTGGGGGGCTGTGGGCAGAGCAGCAGGGCGCCCGACAGGGCCCTGGTCTCCTCCCCTCCTCCTCCTCCTCCTCCTCCTCCTCCTCCTCCTCCTCCTCCTCCTCCTCCTCCTCCTCCTCCTCCTCCTCCTACTCCTCCTCCCACTCGTCCTCCTACTCCTCCTCCCACTCCTCCTCCTCCTCCTCCTCTCCTCCTCTCCTCCTCCTCCTCCTCCTCCTCCTCCTCCTCCTCCTCCTCCTCCTCCTCCTCCTCCTCCTCCTCCTCCTCCTCCTCTTTCTCCTCCTCCTCCTCCTCCTCCTCCTCCTCCGCCGCCTCCTCCTCCTCCCGCAAAAGCGCCCGAGCGATGGCCCGGGCGACGGCAGCCGGCGGCGGCAGTGCTCTGGACCACCCCCGCCCCTGGGAGCCTCCCCTGCTGGGCCGGAGAAGAGGCAGCACTGGAGGCCGTCTGTCGCGAGGCGATGCCTGCTGAGCGACCGGCGGGTCCTCGTCAGTGTCTATACTATAGCGGTATGGCCACGGGGTTGTCCTTCACCAGACATGCGACGTCTTGATTTTTTCAGGACGGCGTCCCCTGAAGTCCCGGCCCTTTCCCCGGAAACAGTTTTTCATCCTGAGTCGTTGTTTGACGGTCCTGGGGCCCGGCGAGGGCCCCCAGTGGCCGAAATTGGTGGAAAATTCGCCGCCCTGGTCTTTTTACGACGCGATCATGTCCGGGTCTGGATCCGCATTGCCTGTGCAGTTTGGCTGCTTGCGGCGTCGACCGACGGTCGGGCCAGGGTGATGGGCCTGTTTTCCACCACCACCGCCATACACTGGAGGGGGGAAGGAAGTGGCGAACGAGGAGGAAGAGGAGGAGGAGGAGGAGGAGGAGGAGGAGGAGGAGGAGGAGGAGGAGGACCGAGGAGCCCCTCCCCCTCCAACTGCGGTGGTGGTGGAGACCGGGCCCATCACGGGGCTCAACTCTCCCCCCCGGGCGCCGCTGCGGCCCCTCCTCCGCTGCGGCGCGGGGGCGCGTGGAGGCCCGCGCGGGGCCCGCGGCTTGGCGGTGCGCTCTTCCGGGCCCCTGCGGCGAGTTGTGTGCGGCTCGCTGCGCGTCGGTCGGAGGGCGCGCCGCGGGTTGAGCAGCGCGAAAGAGAGATATGTGTAAATATATACACATATGCATATATATATATATATGTATATATATATATATGTATATATATAGATATGTGTATAGCGGAAGGGACAGGGACGAGTTCCACTGATGGGCGCTTCTTGTGCCGGCGAAAGAGGCGGAGGGCTGGCGGAGGAAGAGGAGCGACAGCAGGAGGGGTGCGGCCGCGGCACAGGAGAGGACGCAGCAGCACGAGGCACGCGGGCAGGGGGCCCCCGCCCTCCCGCGGCAGGATCGTGAGCGTGCCGTGCGAGGTCGCGGGGGACCTCACGAGCTGGAGGGGCTACCTGCTGGCGGCCCGCGTGGGCGCCAGCTGCATCTTCCGCCTCAGGTCATCGGGGATAAAAAGATCCCCAAGCCTAATAGCAGAGTCAAGGGGTGACCTCACTGAGGTCCCCGTCCTTGCATGAGGCATCATGAGCGTGGGTGGTTTGGTTCGACACACTTGTAGAAAAGACTCCTTCTCTAATGTTCCTAACCCTCCTGCAGTGCGGACGCGGCAGCAAGAATCCCTCGCAGGGAGCCCAGCCCCGAAGACCCACGCGAGGGTTGCGACTGATGACGCCCGGGGCGCCCAGAGAACTGCTGTTTCCTTGACGGCCGCGGGAGGACACCGCGCAGCGCAAGGAGCGAAGACACCCAGCGTACCCTGGAGAATAGCATATGGCTTCTTGGCGCCCGCCCCTACTGTAACTTAGGCCGCCTCCCAAAGGGTCACGGTTTTTTGGATGCCCGATCACCAGGCACTACGGGACCAGCAAGTCGCTGCCGCTCTTCTCCAACGAGGCGCCCGCGTTCGGGACCGAAATGCCGCCGGCCGGCCGGCAGACTGAATGGCCGAGGAGTCGGACGGCCCTCTCCTGGATCGCGGCCCCGGCGGGGCCGACGTGGTCCAGGTCGAGTGGATGCATCTAGGCCTCTTCGATGGGGTCCGAGTAGATGGGGTCGGAGGATCGCGTCGCATCGACGATATATCGGCGATGTGGCTTGATGTGGAGCCCGATGTTCTCCACGCCGGCGGCGTCGATGCATAGCCGATGTCACCGATGCATCGCCGGTGCATCGGCGATGTATCGGCGATGCATTTACGATGCGGCGCGATCCTCCGACCCCATCTGCGCGGACCTCTTCTAGGAGGCCTCTAATGCAGAGCCCTGCGGACGAGGACCCCAGTCAGTTGATTGCCGCAAGCTCCGTTGTTCTCCAAGTATATAGGCTGAAGTCGGGCATGCCCCTCTACAGGAGGAATGTCCAAGAATAGTAACAAATAGAATGGTGACGATTGCTCGTGCGTGCTCTTTTGACTAGTGCTGATGATTTTGATTGAGTATGTTGAATAGTTCTTCCAACGCCCGCCTGTGGGAGGATATGCTCGACCCAGAATAAGGCTTGCCTGCGGGGTTCTTCGTTGGTGACAGTTGGGTGCCTCCTAGTGTCACTTGGCCCGTGCCCCAGAGCTTCGTCGGTTTCCCCGGGCTTATGCGGGCTCCCCGGGCTCCTTTTCAGCAGGAGATCCCCCACTTGGGGTCGCGCCGGGCATATCTTTTGCATGGCGGAGGTGCCGACGCTCCAGCAACGGCTGCGGCCACTGCGGCTCGGGAGCGGTCGGTGGCGGGTGGGGTTGTGCGGACCGAGACCGGGGGGGACGCCGCCGCAGCACTGGTCCGACGGGGGCCCGCTAGGGCGGGCGGGGCCCAACTCTCCGCCGCCCTGGCATGAAATCGGGCGTGTCCCTCTACAGGAGGCAAGCAAGCAAGTCCGGCCGGGCGACTCCGAGAGCCGCTCGCCCCACTAATGGGGACGGAAATGAGGACATTGTGAAACAAAACGGCTACTTGTGCACAATATATGAATAACACCCTTCGCATCATACGGAATGTTCGGCACAGTGCGGTTGCGCCCCCGACGGGGCAGCCTGGCGACCTCTACAGGAGGAAAATCAAAAAAATAGTCAAGAAAATAAGCGGGGACGACTGTTCTATCACTGTTGACTCTTTCGTTCAGGTTTGGGCTGCTCTTATTTTTCGTCCGAAGTCCGCCTGTAGGGGGACATGCCCGACCTGACTTTGAGAGGTCGGAGCGGCAGGTCCTTCCGACCCAGACCTCTGTCGTCGTATTTTGCCTTGGCGTCGACCCCCAGAGGTCTCGACCCCTTCCCCAGGACCGGCTTCTCGTCCCGAGGCCCGAGTCGTTCTGTGACGTCCCCGGTGCCCGGCCCGCCCTCCCAGAGGCCGAGAGTGGCAAGAGCACCTTCCGTCATGATTGGTGTCATTCAGGAGGGGAAAAAAACACACAGACACAATTAATCGTCCATTCCCCAGAAATATGGGAAACTATGGGAAGTGGGGGGGAAGACAAAAACCCAGAAAACATGGGAAAGATGGGGAATCTTTTTATTTGTGTGTATTTATGTGTGTGTGTGTGTGTCCTGGGGCCCCTTCAGTCAGGGCCCAAGCGGTCTGGGAAGGATAGGCTTTTTTTCCGACCTCGGGAGCCCCACTCTCGGCGCTTGGGACGTGCTGTCGAGAGCGCTCCCTGGAGCCCCCATCTCGCGGCACCAGGCGGGGCGCCTGCAGCTCTTGGGCGGCGTGGCTTTTTCTGCGCGCACGCTCGCAGAGCGGGGCCCCCCTTTACCAGATGATCATCCACGACCGAAGAATATCCGTCGCGGATTGCTGGGCTAACGGTGTGTTGGCTGATGGCGAAGTAGGACATCCAATGGTAGAAAAGGGCGGTTCGTGGCCAAACCACTTGTAGGAACGCGTGGTTCGTGTTTTCCCACTACTCGCTGTGTCGTTTTCGTTCGGTACATTTGCATATTTAAAACAATGGGAACGGCCTTTCGTGATGTCCTACATGTTGTTCTTCGTGAGCCCTTGTCGCAAAACACAGATTCCCATCCGCACCGTTAACCAAGCACGCCGTCAGCGCGGCCTTGGAAAAAGGTACCGGTACCGCTACTCCCCGGGCCATTCCTTGGGTGCGTTCTGACCAGAGTTTCGAGGCGAATACAGCGGTGGCGGCGAGGGCCTCCCAGGAGGCCCGAAAAGGGGGACGACGAGGGAGGGTAGCGGTTTGGGTACCTTTTCCTCTGAGATCTCGGTGCTGGTATCATCGCGACGGGGTCTCGTTTTCGGCCGCGAGCGTCGCGACCGATCCCAGATTTCTGGCGCGAGGGCCTGTCGCAGACGGTCGCGAACGCACGGTCGCGAGTGGTGCCTCGGCCGCGGTCGGCCTCGCGTGGGTCGCGGTGGAGCAGGTGCAGGAGATGGAGGACGCGGATGAAGAGGAGGAGGAGGAGGAGGAGGAGGAGGAGGAGGAGGAGGAGGAGAAGGAGGAGGAGGAGGAGGAGGAGGAGGAGGAGGGGAGGCGGAGGAGGCGGAGGAGGAGGAGGAGGAGGAGGACTGGTCACGGCCGAAAGAAACCCACCCCGCAGGAGATCGGCCGCGACCCCTCGCGGCCGGCACCTTATCGTCGGTCGCGGGCGGCAGGGGCCGGCGGTCGGGCCCCCGGGAGACTCGAAGACTCAAAGACGGAGCCGGGACGAAGGGGTCGGGAGATCAGGAGGTTTGTGCGAGTACAACACGAAGGCCTCGCGGGAGCGATGTGGTCGCGCCCCGGGGCTCTGGGGGGGATGGCGGGGCGCGAGGCGCCCGCGTGCATCCTGGACATCCGACGGCAGGGTGTTCTGGGGGCGCCGGCGTTCTGGAGAGGGCCTCGCCTTGCCTCGCCTGCGAAGCGCAGCGCCCTATGGGGAGCGCGGCAGACGTGAGACGGTGGCAGGTCCGCCAGCGGTGGGCCGGCGGCAGGTGGAGAGAAGCATGTGCAGAGCCTGCCACATGAGCGACGCACACTAACGAAAACGGATGGCTTGCGCAGACGCTGCCGCCCAAGCTACCCGCGGACGGTCGGGTATACGCGCCCTCTTTCCCTCTGTGGCGTGCCGCGCCCGGGGTCTCCGTCAGCCGCGGCGCGAGGTTACTATGTCCTCTCGCGTGAGCCTCCTTGTGCGGTGTCGCTCACATGGGCCTCGTCCCTGGAACTCTCGGCCCCAGTTCCCTTGGCCGCCCATCTTCTCAACCATCCTGTGGTTTTGGGTCCTCGTATTGAAGAGACAGCGCCGCGCGTCTCCTCTCCTTCCTCCTGCCCCTCCTCCCTCCTCCCATCCCTTGCTGCTGCCCTCCCCATACTCCTGTGTCTACGCACACCTCACACGCTTCGTGGCCCTATAGGAAGCTCCACCGACGGCCCCAGTGGCTGCATTCGCATGCGCCCACCACACCCATTTTGGCACACGCCTCACACGTTTCGTGGCTTCTTAAAAAGCTCCACCGTAGGCCCCAGTGGTTGCGCTCGCATGACACCACCGCGCCCATCTCGGCACGCGAACCGCACGCTTCGACACCCCACAGGGAGTTTCACCGTATGCCCCAGTGGCTGCGTTCGCATGCGCCCACCGCGCCCCTTTGTGACACACCCCTCACACGGTTCGTGGCCCCAGAGGAAGATTCGCTGACGGCCCCAGCGGCTGCGTTCGCTTGCGCCCACCGCTGCCATGCTCGCACGTTCGCATGCGTCAACCGCACCCGTTTTGGCGCACCGCTCACACGGTTCGTGGCCCCATTGGAAGCAGCACCGACGGCCTCAGGGGCTGCGTTCGCATGCGCCCACCGCGCCCAGTTTGGCACATGGCTCACATTTTTCGTGGCCCCATAGGGAGCTCCACCGACGGCCCAAGTGGCTGCTTCCGCATGCGCCCACCGCGCCCCTTTTTGGCACACCCCGCACACGCGTTTCGCGGCCCCATGGCGAGCTCCACTGACGGCCCCAGTGGCTTCGTTCGCTTGCGCCCCCCGCCCCATAGAGAGCTCCACCGAATGCGATGCTCACAACGACGAGGTTCAAAACTGGATATTGTCGTCTCCCTCGCCAGGCTAAGTCTGTTCCGTCCAGGGGGGCCGCCTGCGGCCTCGAAGAGTCGACAAAACGGCGGAGCATAACGAAATGATTCCAGCAAAGCAGCCCAATAGCAGCAAAGGTGAAGAGGTGCTTCGAGGAGTACGAATAAGAATCATAATGCTAAGAAGAAGCAGACACAGAGTAATACTAATACTAAGAACCATCAGTCAAATCATACTAAAAATAATCCGCACACAAATGTTACTGAGCGGGTGAAGATCTTTCATGCACATGTAGTCCCGGGGATTTCTGTGCACCTGGCCATCGCACCTGGCTGCATGTCTTGCCAGGGTTTGGGGCCCTCCGTGCCAGCAGCGTGGCCGACCTGTGGGCGACCGCACGGTTCCTCGGCATCGCTCGGACGTGTGCACTTTTCCTTCGGCGAGGACCATCGAGGAGCATCCTTGATCATTTGTCGAAAAAACCACGCACGAAACCGAAAAACACACACGGAATGGACGTCCGAGCGATGGCGAGGTTCCCGAATACATCCCGAGGAAGCATCCGGCGAAGCGGCTGTCTCACCAGGCGGGCTGGGGCTCCCTGCTCTCCCTGCGGATGTTTTGGAATATCGACCACCGTTGTCACGGCGGCCGGGCAGGGCGCTCGAGGGAGGCGCTCTCCGTGCTCCCCGCCCTGCCGGGCCCCTCTGCGCTTTCCCCCACGATCGGGAGCCTCCCGCGGGACGCCTACTCGGGAAGCACCACGTTGTCGGCACTCGGGGCCCTGGGTGTTCAAGCGGCACACGTTTGTTGCGCCGCGGGTTTGGGAAGCGCCCCCCCCAGAGACCGGAAACTGTGAGACGTCATCGGCATCGTGATGCTTGCTCTTGCCAAGCCCTTCCCTTTCTCTGAGGGGAGAGCTTGGCCCCAGCTTCTCGGCGAGGGTACGCTCGAGGCACGAGGAGGCGGGACGGCGGAGGCGGATGCCTGGGGGTCTGGTGGCGAGAGGTCGTGCCGCTGGGGCCCTTCAAGAGCGTGTCCCGCCTGTTCGTCCGCCTCGCCGACCGCGGCGACAGGCCGACGGACATGGGGGCGCTGGGCTTAGAGCGGGTGTGTTTCGTTCTCCCTTCCGCGCTCTCCCCTTGGCATCGCTTGGACGTGTGCATTTTTTTCGGCGAGGACCATCGAGGAGCATCCTTGATCCTTTGGCGAAAGAACCACGCACAAAACCGACAAAAAAAACAGGGAATGGACGTCCGAGCGATGGCCAGTCCCTCCCTCTCTCCCTCTCTCGCCTCCCCTCGTGGCGGCGAGGACGCCCGCGGGCCAGGAGGCAGCAGGGGGGGGGTGCGAGGCGGGGCCCGTGCCGTCGTCGGCTCGGCACGGCGAGCTCGGGGAGGTAAAAGGGCGACCTCCTGCAGAGGCCAAGCAGCCCTGGAGGCCCCCTAAGGCAGGGCAGGACGCGGCCAGACGTACCGCGCGCAAAAAACACACTTTTTTGGTCTGCGGGTCGAGAGCGAGCCTCTTCCGGTAAAGAGCTAGGCGGGCCGCGCAAAGCACGAATTTGGGAGACAGAGCACAGGCGGGCACCGCACGCAAAAACACACGACGGAGGTGTGTTTCCTGGCTTCTGCCTTCCATGTGCCTCTGGGGGGGGCCCCAGCGGGCTCCGCGGCCGCTCCCGGAAGAGAGAGCGAGAGCGAGCCGGGCAGCCAGCGGACCCCGCGCCGAGAGAGACGGAGGCGCTCGATGTCCGAAGGAGGTGGCTCTGGCGCTCTGGCCCCAGGTGGCCCCAGCTATCCCATGGGGAGACCGGCATGGTCTCCAGGGCACCGTCACGAGGCCCCGAGGGTTCCAGGGGCCACCCGCTATCTCCGGCCTAGCTGAGGCGAGGCCCTGGCCACCTCCTTTGAAGAAGGTGGCACTGGCGCTCTGGATAGCTCTGGGCGCTCTGGCCCAAGGTGGCCCAAGCTGGCGAGTCAAGGCGTCGGGACTGGGGGTGGGGGCGGGTTTTCTCCATTCCTGAGACCGAAACACCACCCCCACCCCCAGTCTCGACCCTCTGGATCGCGGGTTCGGGGATGGGGTCGGGACTGGGGGTGGGGGTGGGTTTTCGCTTTCTCAAGCCCAGGGGAGACCGGCATGGTCTCCAGGGTACCGTCACGAGGCCCCGAGGGTTCCAGGGGCTCCACAGTGGTTTCCAAGAGGCCGGGGACAGCTCGGGTCATGGCGGCGCTTGCCAGGCAGCACAAGCCAGTCCCTCGGTGTTCCCCCTGTTTTCCCGTAAACCGAATGCCTAATTCCAGATGTGTTGCTGGCTAGCTTGCGCGCTCTCATGGACAGGCCTTTCGCGATCTCCTGCGATTTCACCTATTGGTTGACCAGTCGACACACACCAGGCATTCAGCTGTTGTTTCTTCTGTTCGCTCTGTTCTTGAACTTGCTACCCAGTCGATCCCGTGCAGACCGGTTCGCGCGCGCCCTATAGGCTAGGACCACCATTGGCAACCTCCTCCGATATCCGACGATGCGTGTCTTCCCAGCAAACGGGGGCACGGGGAACGCCGACTTCCATGTTTGGCTATGCCCCCGTTTAGGGGGGGCCCTGGGCGCCGTAGACGGGGGCACAGTAAACGGGGGCAAATGAAAAAGCCGAAGCCCCCGTTGGGCTAAACCCCCGTTAAGGAAGGCCCCCGAACCATGTGCTGGGCCAGGCCCCCCGCCGATTCGGGTGTCGATGGATGGGCCCGGCGCTCCTTATCGAACGGCGTGTGCGAAGCGGGTGTGCGGCCTGATCGGTGGCCGATCGGCGAGCCAGCGCCTCCTCATTCCCAGATTGCACCAGAGGAAATCCCCGATCCCCAGGCCCCCTCGAGCAACGAAAAAATCACGACGATCGTTTTTGTTCCCCATTTTCGGCCTCTGGGGGCCATCTCCAGGCCGCCGCGGGACCGTCACAAAACGATTCAGGATGAAAATCCAGTCCTGGGGATTGGGTCGAGAACCCTGGGGATCGGCGTCATAAAAAGAATCATGACGTCGGGGGTCTGGGTTCCCAGATTTCACCAGAGAAAACCCAATCAGTGGATGGTTTGACATGGGATCGATAAAGAGATCGATCAGGAGATCGACCGGAAACCGGGAACCCACCGAAATCGGCCGGTACCAATAACCAGGAGCCCGGAACCCGGAACCCAGACCCCGGGAACCCAGTCGGCTATCAAAATCGGCGGGAAATTTTCGCCTAATCTTTCAATTTCCGCCAGGACCTCTTCAGTGCAAGCTCTGATTGGGGCATCTCCGACGATTTGATATAGTTGAGGCCCATGCCAAGACACGCCCTGCCTGCCTCCAATGTGCCCTGGGCTTCTTGGGCTTCGATGGTTTCGCCGTGGAGCGCGTGGCGCTCCCACACCAAAAGTCCAGGGACGCCCTGGGGTCTCAGGGTCGGGTTTCTTGCGGAGGGCCTCTCGTGGAAGGGCCCCTATAGTGTACGTGTGCCAATCGGAAGCCGGGCAGGGGCTGCTAAATGCGTGGCTGCCAAAATCGACCTCCAGGAAATTGTCTTCGTTCCTCCGGGAAGAAGCCCGTTGACTGTTTCGCGTGCCGCATGAGGCGCCGCCCGCCCGCGCCCTGTCTCCCCAATTAGTGCTTCGCGCGCCCCGCCTGGCTCTTGACCGGAAGGGGCCCGCTCTCGACCCGCCGACCAAGAAACTGTTTCGCGTGCCGCGCCTCATTCCGGGAAGTTGTTTTTGTTTCCTTCCGGGAGGGCCGTTTCAGCAGCCACGGTTTTTGGCAGCCCTCGCCCCGCTGTCGACTCAAGCCCGGCGAGGTGCCTCGAGTTCGGCCTCCGGGAAGTTGTCTTCGTCCTTCCGGGAAGAAGCCCGTTGACTGTTTCGCGTGCCGCGCCTCCTTCCGGGAAGTTGTTCTTTTTTCTCCTTCCGGGAGGGCCGTTTCAGCAGCCACGGTTTTTGGCAGCCCTCGCCCCGCTTTCGACTCTCAATCCATGGCGAGGTGCCGCGGGGCCCGTGGTCGGGCACCCGCGGCCGCGGTACGGTGCTCATGCCATAGCTCGGTGTTCCAGTGTTCGAGACGGTCTGGGCCCCTTGCAAGAGCAACCCCGGCGACGCGCAGCTGCTGGCAAGCACGCCAGGGCGAGAAAACCTCCGAGAGGCTACGACCATCGACGCGCACCCAGTCCCCCGATTTCCTTTTTTGTGACTCTTTCCACAACTGGGACCGCAGTGTGCCCCTGGCAACGACAGGGCCGTTTTTTTTTGCTGGATATCTTTTGCCGTTTTGTTGCCGGTTCCGACGCACGCCCTTGCCTTGCCGGTTCCGACGCCGTCTTTGTTGCCGCTTCGGGCTCCGGTTTCCCATCCTGGAGCTGTTTTTGTGGCTGTTTCCGGTTGCCTTTTTTTTCTCCGGCTCCCATCTTCAAGAGGCGCTCTTCCGGGAACGGTGTGAAAACGGTCCTGTGCGCGGCTCCCCGGGGGCCCAGGCACGCGGGCCGCCGCCGTCGCCTCGCACGCCGCGATCGGCAGGCCGCGCACCGGAGGGTCACCTCCTGCGCGCGGCCAGCGAGAGCTGGCGGCCCTAGACGCCAGCCCGTCGTGCTCCTGGGCCCTCGGACGTCTCGACCCGTTCGCCTGGACAGGCTCGCCTCCTCCTCCTCCGTCCTCCTCCTCCTCCTCCTCCTCCTCCTCCTCCTCCTCCTCCTCCTCCCCCTCCTCCTCCTCCTCCTCCTCCCCCTCCTCCCCTCCCCCTCCTCCCCCTCCCTTCCTCCTCGTCCTCGCCCTCGCCCCTGGGCCCTCGGACGTCTCGACCCGTTCGCCTGGACAGGCTCGCCTCCTCCCGCGGGGGCCCCGCGTCTTGCGACCGGGCCCCCAGGGGGGGCGCGGCGAGGGCCCCTTCTCGAGAGGCCGGAGCAGGCAGCACAACCCCTGCCCCGTCATGACTCTTGTTCTCGTCGCGGGGCTCCTCCTCCTCGTCCTCCTCCTCCTCCCCGCCCTCCTCCTCCTCCTCCGCCCTCCTCCGCCTCCTCCGCCCTCCTCCTCCTCCTCCTCCTGCTCCCCCTCCTCCTTTACCCTCCTCCTCCCCTCCCTCGTCTTCCTCCTCCTCGTTCCCCCCTCGTCCTCCTCCCTCCTCCTCCTCCTCCTCCTCCTCCTCCTGCTCCTCCTGCTCCTCCTCCTCCTCCTCCTCTCCCTCCTCCCCCTCCCTTCCTCCTCGTCCTCGCCCTCGCCCCGGGTGCCGCCGCGCCGAGACGCTGGACATGATGATGAGTTTCGCCCGCCACCCGGACATGGAGGCGTCCTGGCCGCTCGGCGTGCTCACTGTGCGCCTCGCCCTCGCCCTCTTCGTTGGCGAGGGCCAGACGGGCCTCTACCAGCTCCACGGCGTCGGAGAGGTCGCCGAGGATCGGGCCGGACGAGCCCTGACATCCCCAGAGATCCAACGCATTGAGAATTGCAGGGCGGAGGTGCGTCAAAGGTCTTGGCCCTGTGCGGGGCCCTCCCTGGGGCCCTCGAGACTCTGGCCCTTACCCCAGCAGGGCACGCCAACGGTAGCAAATGTGAAGAAGCCGATCGAGGAGAAGGAGGTCGGCCAGGGAAACCGTGGATTCCTTTTTTATTGTATATACAATATGTAGATACATCTCTCTCTCTCTCTATATATATATATATGCACATCTACATTTCACTCAATCACCAGAAGTGCCGGCAGGTCGGACAGGGGCGTGTGTTTTCCCCAGTCGTCCTGTGGTGTTGTGGAGGCCGTCCCCGCAGTCTCCTCTCCGTCCTATTCCCCCTTCTCCTGTGCCTGCCAATGCCATCCGGGCCAGCCACGTGTCGGCACACACATCCCACGTGTGATGGCTCCTCTGAGAGCTCCACCGAAGGCCCCAGTGGCAGGATCACCGTGCGTCTGACCCACCCAGTACAAGTCTCCGTGGCCCACAGGGATCTGCACCGAAGGCCCCAGTGACAGGCTCCACCTGCGGATCCCCCACCATGTCCAGGGCTTCGTGGCCCCATGGGGCGGTCCACCGAAGGCCCCCAGTGGCAGGGCCCACAGGTGTTTCACCCACCCAGTACAGCGTTCCGTGGCCCATAAGGAGCGTCACCGATGGCCCCACTGGCAGGGTCCACATGCGTCTCCTGGACTAAGTATGTCGTTTCGCGGCCCATAGTCCTAGGGCCCCAGCAAACTCAACCGAGGCCCCAGTGGCAGGGTCGACATGTGTCTCCCTGTCCCATGTCGGCACGCGCCCCACACCCTTCGCGCCCCCAGAAGGGGCTCCACCGAAGGCACCAGTTGGAGGGTCCACATGCGTCTCCATGCTCCAGTTCTGCACCCAACAGACATTGCGGCGCACCCCTGACTCGATTCGTGGGTCCACAGGGCCCATAAGGAGCTCCACCGACAGCGATGACCACACTGCCGTGAACATGGGCGTCGCCAGGGTCGTGCCATAAGGGATCGTGGCCGTTCGGGGGAGGAGGTCTCGCGCTCCCCGTCCCCCCTGTGGGTCCCCCACCCATCCTGTGATGTTGGGCTGGCCGCGTTTTGAGGAGAGGGCTCCCCGCGTATAACTCTCCTCTCATCCTCCCCCCCTCCCACCCCCTATCCGTGCCTCTGCCTTGCCTCTGCAGTCACCAGCCCGGCACACCCCTCAAGCTTGTTCGTGGCCGATGGGGAGCTCCATGGAAGGCCTCTGTGGCAGGGTCCACATGCGTCCCCCCCACCTAGTACTGCGCCCAGCGGCCCATAGGGAGCGCCACCGAAGGCCCCAGTTCAGTACTGCGCCCAGCGGCCCATAGGGAGTGCCACCGAAGGCCCCAGTGGCATAGGCCGCATGCGTCTGACCCAACCAGCACAAGTTTTCGTGGCCCAGCAGGAGCTCCAAGGAAGGCCCCAATGTCAGGATCTGCATGCGGACCCGCCACGGCCCTTGCCAAGAAACACCCTGCTTGCCTCCATGGTGCCCTGGGTGTCTTGGGTTTCGGTGGTTTCGCTGTGGAAAGCGTGGCGTTCCCACACAAAAAATCCATGGACGTCCTGGGGTCTCGGGGTTGGGTTTCTTGTGGAAGGTTTCTTGTGGACTGGCCTGCACTGCAGAGGGCTTCGTGGTCCCATAGGGAGCTCCGCCGAAGACCCCAGCGGACGGCTCCACACCCGCCTGACCAAACCAGTACAGCGTGTCGTGGCCCATGGGGGGCTCCCGAAAACCCAAGTGCCAGGGTCAGCGTGCGTCTCCCCCACCCAGTACAAAGCCTCGTGGCCCATAGGTGGCTCAGCCGAAGACCAAAGCGGCAAGGTCCACATACGCCCCCCCCAGTTCAGCGCTTCGTGGCCCACGGGGAGCTCTACCGAAGGCAGCGCTTGGTGGCCCCAACACCCCTCACACTTTTCGTGCCCCAGTAAGGAGCTCACCGAAGTCACCAGTGGGAGGGTCCATGTGCGTCCGTCTCCCTGCTCCATTATGGTACTGCACCACCATTACGCCACACCCCTCACGCGTTTTGTGGCCCCACAGAGCCCACAGGGTGATCCACCGAACGCGATCACACTTGCATATGGTTGGCACGTTCGCCAACGATTCGAACCCCAAGCGGAACGCCACTCGTGCACATCCAACTCATTTAGAAATTTGGTCGAGGGTGTTTCGTGGTTGTACGTTTCTGGGGACCCTCCCCTAAATACCACCAGGACCGTCCAAAACAATAGTCTGGCGAAGGGCCGAACCATATGCAGTTGTAAGTGCCGCAGTTGTGGGTATCGCCGTCCGTGGAGCTCTCTATGGGTCACAAATCTTTGTAATGGGTGGGGGAGACGCATGCGAACTTTGCCACTGGGGCCTTCGGTAAAGCTCGCCATGGGCCACGAAGCGCTGTGCTGAGTGGGGGAGACGCACGCAGACCCTGCCACTGGTGCCTTCGGTGGAGCTCTCTATGGGGCCACGAGGCGCGTGAGAGGTGTGCCGAACAGATTGACATGCGGAGGGCACAGGCAAGGATAGGAGGAGGGAGGGGTGGTATGGGTGGAGGAGAGGAGAGGATGAGGTCGCGGGATGACGCGGGGAGCTGTCTTTTCAAAACCAGGACCCAGAACCACAGAGAGGTTGGGAACGATTGAGGGTTCAACATCCCCCTGGGGTACGGGTCGGGGATTCCTGTCACCACGCACGCAAGACATCAAGACATCAAGTCAACATTGTTTACACCTGGCGTTGTGGCCCAATGTCGGAACCTGGGGCGCTTCACTGAACGATCCAGCTAAAGAGTTGCCGCGGAAAGACGGTGTCGAGTGGTCCAGTCGTGATGTTCCACGATGTTGCATTCGTTGTGCGGCGTCGGATCTCAGGGAAGGCACGCTCTGAATGGAATACGGAGTTGATCCGCCATTCTCGGATCCGAGGTCAGGGAGCGGTCGAATCCAGCTGGGAGCCCGCCCATGTGAAACATCAAGGCATCGGACCTCTGAGGAAGGGTGAGTGGTACGAAATTTGCTGCGTGCCGTCGGCGTCGGCCCCGCCGCCAGCTGCCTCTTCTCGATGCGCTGGCGCCTCCTGGGTCCGGAGACTGCCCAGACAGCCGAGGATGTGCTGTTTTTTGCCCGTCCGCAGCCCCAGGGGCCCACTCCTTGTCCCCAGGGGGCAGGGGGTAGTTTTGCTGCGGGCCCCTGCACGTATTTACGTGCGCGGGAGGGGGGCTGGGGAAGGGTGGGCGTGGCGAGGCCCAAGACCGCGCAAGCTGGGTCTCAGTTGTACGCCTGCTCGGCCCAGCGTTGCTAGACAGTGCTGCGGCGGCGCGGGGGGGAAGCGCCACGAGAGTGAGCGTGCCTGAGTCTCCGGGAGAACAGTTTCCAGTTGCCTCTAGTTCTGTGCTCCTGGATCCATGTTTGATGGCCCAGGGCCCCAGCAACGGGCCCCGCACGCCGAAGTCTCGGACAGCTGGTCGGATTCATCCAGTGACGTCGTGCTCTTATCCATTGTTTTGCCGATCGGCGCGGGCCCCTGCACCCCCCCCTCCCCCACCCCATGGAGTAGAGCATGGATGTTTTTGGCGCCTGTTTCAAGCAGGTGGGGTCTCCCCCATAGGACGCACTGTTGCAAACAGTCGCGCCAAGCAGAGGTCCGGAGCCTGACCCCCCCCTCCCCCTCCCCCTCGGCCCAATGTCGAAACGCCGAATAGGAAAACGTTCACAATCAGACATCGCCAGAGCTCTGTACTAGCTGGTTCGCTATCCCTCCTTTGCCCCCCTTTTTTGAGTCCGCCCGGGAGGAGCTTCGCACTGGCAGGGCCCTCACTTCCTCGCACCAGCCCGACCTCCGCTCCATGCTGGAGCTCTGGGCGGCCAAAGCCGAGGGTGAAAAGGCGACGTTCGCGAGGCGGTCATTGTGGATTGGCGCCTCGCACCTCAGAAGCTCGAGCAGGGCATCGACTACAGAATTGGTTTACCTCGATTGTCTCGTCAAGTCTACGAGAATTACATGGTATGGTCGCAGGTCTACAAGCATTCCTCGCATTCTGCGTGCATCCGAAGAGAGAAGTAATTTTGGGGTAAACCAACTCTGAAGTCGATCCCCTACGCTCGATGTTCAGTCTTCGCCCAGTTCGCATGCAGCCGACGAGTTCCCAACGCGGGGGGGGGGAAGGAATGCGAGCGAGGTGGAGCGGGAGGCATTTCCCCTCAGCACAAGTACCGGCACCCTGCCTTTGTCCCGAAAGGGCCGATCTGGTCCCGAGTCGCTGGAGGAGCGGTGCTGGCAGCTAAAGTTGGTGGTCTCCAAACCAGGTGGTGAGACACCCGGTGGTGACCCCGATTCCCCAAAGAAATAATTCTGGGTCACCACCGGGTTTGGGGACACGCGGTCGCCACGAGGTTTTGCGTTTCCTGGGCCAGCCAGCGCTCGAAAACCATTACCCAAATCGCCCAAAACTCACCACCGGGTGTTCTCACCACCACGTTTGGGGACCACCAATAAAGTGCGTGAGAATCCGCCCCGCACGGGAGGTGGCCAGATCGCACCCTCCCCGGAGGTCCGGCTGTTGTGAGTCTGTCGCGTCAGGGGGGGAGGGGCCGAGGTCTCGACCCTCGTTGGCCCCCCAGGGGCCCATCGGGGGCTGCCGGCTGTCAGCAGCTTCCCGTCGAGGTCGTTCCACGGCGCGAGGAGGTCTTGGGGAATGGCCAGACCTCGCCGTGTCCTTCCTGCCGGGCGACGGGATCCCATGACAAACTTAGGCTGTAGTCGGGACTGTCCCTCTACAGGAGGAAACTCAAAAATAATCCACATTTTGTCTGGGGACGATTTTCTAAAAATGATTTTCGACGAGTTCGGGCTACTGTTTACCGATGGCAATTTTTCCTCAAACATCCGTCTATAGGAGGACATGCCCGACCCGAACATACGCCGCCCTTGGTCAGGCCCTCCCTGGGCCCAGGGTCGATGTATATAGACTCCCTCCTGTTGGAGGCCTGGACACATCGCCTTCGGCACCGCCTGGTTCCGGGGCTTTGCCCTCTCTTGGCCTTGACGTGAGGCCCCTCCTTCTGCCCTCCCCCCTCTGTCAATTAAAGCTGTGCGCGGCCCGCTTAGCTTCGACCGGAAGAGGTGCGCTCTCGACCCACAGATCAAAGAACAATTGTTGGAGGCCTGGAAATTGGCACCAACGCCAACACAAGGGGTTTGCCTCCACAGGGGGAAGATGATCCTAGAGTTCGGTGTTGATGGCAAAATGTCGCTGACCTTGGCAGCCAGAGTACTGCCACCATCTCCGAGATCGGGATCCTCTTCCCTCGGTGGAGGCAGACCGCCGATATTGGTGTTGGTGTCAACGTTTAGACCTGTCATCCTGACGTGGCCAGGGAGGCGGGTGCACGGGCCCTGTGGGCCTGGGCCTGGCCTGGCCAGTGGCGGTGTGCATGCCGAGACCCGCGACGCTCGGGGGCGGCAAGGGGGGGTGAGGACAGGGGTTAAGTCGGGCCTGCCCCTCTACAGGAGGAATTTTCAAAAGTAGTCAAAAGAAGAGATGGGGACGACTTTTCGATTATTGTCTGATTATTTTTGGTTGTTGGTTTAACACGACAGAAAAAAACACAACATCGTCCAACATCCACCTGTAGGGGGACATGCCCGACCTAAGACTAGGGGGGGGGATATCGTGGCGGGGGCCATGATTCTCCCCAGATTCCATGGCGCCTCTCCTCATTCCATCGCGTCCCTGGCCCCCCCTCCCCCCGGCCTCGCACATGCCGCCGGCCATGATTTGCGCCCCCCCCTCTAGGACGCCCGCCTCTTGGCCGACCCCGATACATGTCCAGACCCCCGACGTCGTCATCTCCCCCCGAAGCGTGCAGCCTGGGACGTCTCGACTAGTTCCCTTGGACCGGTTTTTCGGGTGCAACTCTTGGGAGGTCAAATTTTGATGTTGCCTTTATCCGAAATCCGGCGTAATACGGCTTGTTCCGCAATCTGGTTCAATCCCAGCTAATTCGGTTTAATCCCGTTCAATCCGCGCCTTTATTTTCTAGCGAAAACCTCCCAGTACTTGCTTCCTAACGATTTCTCATCCTGAGTTTTGTTCTGTGACGATCCCGCGGCCTGGCCAGCGAGGGCCGACAACAACAGCAGAAAGTGTGCCGTCGTGATTGTTGCTCCACGCCAGGGGGTCTGGATGTACGGAACTCTGCACCCCATCTTTCGGCGGCGAGCAAGAGGGGGAAATGAGAAGGCCTCCTCAGAAGGCGGCGGGACTTCTGAGAACCCCCCGCGCCCTCTGAGGAGTCTTCTATGTCTCCAGGGAAGGCTTAGGACACTTCCCAGAAGGCCCGGGGACTTCCGAGCCTTCTGAGAAGGCCTTGTCCTTCTCACTTCCCCCCTGGGCGAGCCGCCTAGTCCTGGCCCGCCTACAGACCAAGTCCCAAGGACCTCTCGTTGCTTGCACGATCTGTTCCGAGAGCCGTTCTGGCTGACCGTCTTGTTTTCAGACGCCGGGCCCGCACTCTAAGAACACAGCGTTTGCTACGAGAACATCCCGAGCCGTCCGAGAAGGTGATCGCTTGCTTCTTTCGTGTCTTGTGGATCGGCGCGGCCCCCCCCCACCCACCGCCCTCCCCCCCCCGTCATGGAGCAGAGCTTGGCTGTGTTGTCCGGCGCCTGTCTGCGAGCGGGTGGAGCCTCCCCCGCTGGGGCGCACTGCTGCAGACAGCCGCGCTTGAAGCAGAGGTCTGGAGCCAGACCTTCCCTGCCCCCCCTTTCCGCCCAATGTCGAAACGCTGATTTCTATGTTTTAAATTTATGTATATATATATGTGTATAAACGTATACACAGGAAGAAGAGCAACAAAACGCTCACGAGGCCTTCCCCTTCTCGCTTCCTCCCCCCTCGCTCGCCGCCGACGTCCAACGTGCGCCGCGGGCCCCTATCGGGCCGGGCGAAAGGGGGCGATTGGGAAAGGGGGGTTTACGACATTTGCTGCGTGCAGCTGGTTTCGGCCTCCCCGAGGGGCCCATTCCTCGATACGTGGCCGCCTCCGGCGCCGGGAGGCGCCGGGAAAATCAGCCACGCAAGCTGACTCTCAACCCCCCCTTTGCTATCCCCCCCTTTCGCCCGACCCGAGAAGATGATCCTTGAATTCGGTGTTGGTGGCAAAATGTCGGTGACCTTGACAGCCAGAGTACTGCCACCATTTCCGAGATCGGGATCCTCTTCCCTCGGTGGAGGCAGACCGCCGATAGTGGTGTTGGCGACAGCCTCTAGGCCTGTCATCCTGACGTGGCCAGGGAGGCGGTGCACGGGCCCTGTGGGCCCTTTGCTATCCCCCCTCTCGCCCGGCCTGGCCCTAGGAGCAGGGCCAGAAGGGCGCCCCGCTGGAGCCCCCCGTGGCGCCGCTGTTCCTCTCCGGGTGCGACTTCGTGGCCGCGGTGCGCAGCACCTGGCCGCTCTTCGAGGCGCCCCCCGCGGCGGTCGTCGTTTTTTGTTGTTGTTTCGTTATTTTTCTCTCGTTTACTCATTTAGTTTTATTCATATATATATATATATACATATTCGCCTACCCTCGAGTCTTCTCGCTCGTATCGGCCTCGATGGAGCACCCACTGTCGAGGCGATCGAAGCGACTGTGATGGGTTACCACATGTACAACTCGCCTCGAGTGATCACGCCGCCGCCCAATGTGGAGGGATGGGCGGGTCATCTTACTGAAGTCAGGCGGGCGGCGTTTGCCCTCGTCGAGCTCACCAGGCCCCCTGTCTCTGTATAGGCTCCTGGTGGACCCCGTGTGGACTCCTCTGATTACGAGCGATCTATATTTTTATGTATATATATACATACATACATACTCTATACTCTTGAGAGGAAAAAAGAGGATCGACTACATAATCGACTCATCCCAGGACCCATCCCAGACCCAGACACCCGACGCTGCAGAAAAGTTGGAGCGGCTGGATTTGTGCAGCTTTCGGCCTCTGGGGGCCCTTGATGGGCTTCGGGAGCGCCAAAAGACGACTCGGGGTGAACAACCTGTCCCCGGGAAGGGGTCCAGACCTCTGGAGGTTACGACGTCGGGGGTTTGGAAAATGGAACCGACTACAGTCAACCCGCGTAGCAAGGATGGGCAACCTTCCCAAGGGTGCCTCGGCATTCCTGCCCCTTCGGTCCATCCTTAGCGACTTTCGCTGGCCAGCCTCGTTCGAAAAACGTTCACATGAGCCTCCGAGGCCCTTGCATCCTTACCACGCATAATGATGATGCGGTTTGACTGTGCACGATGAGCTTGAGCGAGGCTCGAAGAAGACACCAGCGGCATAAACATGAGCTTTCGGAGCTCCGCGCGGATTTCTTGTATCGGCGCTGGGCGCCTCTGGCGGCGCCTCCGTCGCCGCCCTCAGCGCGCTCCCCGTGCCAGGCAGGGGGGTGTCCAGCGCAGTTCCCAGAACTCTGCGAGGACCTCCGAGATTGTTGTCAAATTAGTCTTCTCCCAACCATCCTTTGGTGTTGGGTCCTCGTTTCAAGAGAGAGCGGCCCGCGTTTCTCCTCCCTCCTCCTCCCCCGCCTCCTCCCTCCCATTCTTGCCTCTGCCCTCCGCACGCGATCTTGTCGGCGCCAGCCTTGGTCCTTCGCTAGGACCGCTAGGATAACCTGTTCCTCTAGTGATGTCACGCCTGTCTTGACCATGGTCCATGCCGGCTGTCGCCCACTCGCAAGGACTATCCACGAACCAACGGTGACTAGGTTCGGCACCGAGGCAAGGGACGGGACCACATCTGGAAAACAAGTCAAGACATGTGATCGTGTTCTTATTCATTGTTTTGCCGATCGGCGCGGGCCCCCAACCCCCCCTCGCCCCCCCCCCCCCCAATGGAATAGATCTTGGCTGTTTTTGTTGCGCCTGTTTCGAGCATGTGGAGTCTCCCACATGGGGCGCACTGTTGCAAACGGACGCCGTAAGCAGAGGTCTGAAGCCCCCCCCCTCGCCCCTCCCCCCTCCACCCACCCCTTTCCGCCCAATGTCGAAACGCCGAATAAAAAACGCGCACCATGGAGCACGAGAAAGAGGAGGGGTGTCCAATGCAGACGCATCGATCACCAAGTCAATGCCTGCTCGACGTCAACAGCGGGAGCCCGGACCTCCGAAGCGTTGGCATGTGAGTGAGGCTCCTGGACCGCCGGCCGTGCTCTTTGTGCGCGTGGCCGTCGCGCCGTTCCTATAGCGCTTTAGTAATACCGGAGGCCCAGGAAATCAGTATCGTCCCGATGTTCCCCGGCCGTCCTGACTTGGGCTCTCGTATCGGATGCATATATACAGAGAGAGAGAGAGAGGGAGAGAGAGAGAGAGAGAGAGAAAGAGAGAAAGAGGGAGAAAGATAGAGAGATAGAGAAAGTGAAGGAACAACAACAAGATACTTTTCTCGGTCGCAGCCGCGAGGCAAGGGTCAGGCGGCGAAAGCAAAGTCCGGGGCACGAACGAGGAACAACAAGAAACACGAAGCGGTGCAATTTCGTGCCCGTTGGCGGGCGGACTGGGTGACAGTCCGACTGGCTGACGACAAATGGCAGCTTCGGGGGCACGATGACTTCGGCTGCCCACAGTGGGCAACGCACGTTAGTCCAGCCCCGGGCGACCGCAACCGAACTCGCACCTGCCAGCGCAACCAGGGACCTCGTGCTGGGATCGCCTGCGGGCGCCCACACCGACAACTGCACGCGCAGCGGACATGGGGCAGCGCGTTGTGAACCGCCCGCGCTCGCCCGCACCTGCGATCGCAACCGGGCAGCACAGGTTGGGCGGCGCGCGGGCGCCTACGCCCGCCACCGCACCAGCACACTCGGAGAGCAGAAGAGAAGTCACCGACACGCCGCCTCAGGGTGCCCATCAGCGTGCTGCTGTCGAAGGAGCGCCCGCCCCTCGGGTTGGAACGAGGGAGTAATACGCTGACGGGCCACCAACGGCAGTGTGGCATTGATGCTCTCTCTCCTCCGCGACAGCTCCAGCAGTGGGAAACAGCTTAGAGGCCGCACGCGCCTGGCCCGCGCGGCCGCAGCCAGAGCTGGGCAGCATGTGTCCTTAGCGCCCGCGCTGCAGAGCGCTCTCACGAAGCAACTTCCGTGTTGAGGCCGAGAAGGGCGATGAGGAGGAGGACAACGACGACGATCAGGATGGGGAGGAGGACGGGGAGGAATGCGAGTAGTACGAAGACGAAGTGTGGGCATTCGAATGCGTGCGTGGCTACGCGCGATTTATGCTCGCCGTTCGGGCTGGCGGTGGGGCCCAAGCGGCGAGCTGTCTTGTGATTGAGGCTTTGCGGCCTGTGTCACCGACACATGTGCCAAGGAGTACCAGGAGGAGGAGGAGGAGGAGGAGGAGGAGGAGGAGGAGGAGGAGGAGGCGAACAGTGAGGATCGGGAGGATGAAGGACGAAGTTGCCTAGGGCGCCCATACTGCTCCTGGTCGGGACTGTTGCTTCGTCCAGTCGGGAGGGCCCTGGGGACTTCGGAGAAGAGCGAGGCCGTCAGAGGATACGGCTCGGCCGGCCCCGAGTGCCGACCAGGTGCGCACGGTATCTGGTGGATCCCACGAAATCCTCGCGTTTGGGGTTCTGGGAAGTCTGTGATTAGCTGTCAGGACCCCTCGTGGGTCAGGTGGTTCCGCCCTCCCTGGAGGGAATGATTGGACAGACGGAAGGACCAGGGCCACCTTGTGCATTCTTGGGGCAAGCTTGGCAGCCCCCTCGAGACTCTCTTGGGCATTTTTGCAGACCTGCAGCAGGCACGTCAAATATAAGACACCAGCCTGTCAGAAGGTGCCCCTTCGAAAGGTTCGCATCCCAGGATGGCCCCAGGGTCCAATAGAAGCCCCGGGGCACTCTTTCAATATCAACGTGCTTCACCTGGTGGTGCTTTGTGCGCCAATGCGTCTTTGGTGCTGTTCCTGATCTATTTCTGCATTTCTCGCTCTCTCTCCCTCTTTTTTCCCCGTCTTTCTCTTCCTCTCTCTCCTCTCTCCATACATCTACATTCCTTTCTTTGTATTACACCAGAAAGGTCACATCTCGACGACTCACGTGCCCGTGGATTTCTTGCAGCAAGAATTCGTGTCGTATGTGTCTGCTGTACTGTTGGAGCACGCTTGGGCTGTCTTGGGGCCGTCGTTTGCCATCTCTGGGCCGGCCCAAGTGCCTTCTGGGCTGTCTCGGCACCCTCGAGAAGCTTTCTGTGGCCTCGATGGGGCGCTCCTGCGGACCTCCTGCGGCAGTCAGGGTATCATAGCCATATGATCGTCGTCGGTGTAATCTCCATGATCATTGTCATCATCAGTACCACATCATCATTACCGCCACATTCCACAGATATGGACCCACGGTTCCAGAATCGTCATCCTCACCGTTGCCACGACCACCGCCACATCCTCGACCGCCATCACCACCATGAACAGTTCCCACACGCACAGACACATTTTTTCAAAGTCAGTGGCGCAGAGGGTCCTCAAGCACGAGCAGCAGATGGGGGTGCGAATTGCGATCGAGCGTTGCCGAAGGCGCAGCATACGAAGCGTCGAGCACGCACGGACACACACACACACACAGTTCCACATTTTCTTTCTTTCTCTCTCTCTCTCTCTCTTCCTTCCTTGCTGTGGCCACCATATAAAGCCGACTCTGGATGTGGCCCGCGGTGCTCCGCCATCACAACGAATTGAGCATGCCCGGCTCCTCGGTGCTGCCCCAGGATTCAAGCCTTCCCCGTCTTGTCGCGCGACCTCTCTCCCCTCGCGCCCAGCCGTGCTCGCCTGGGGCGCAGCCGTCACTGCTTCCCTGCGCCCGTGGGGTGTCCGCAGGGCGACGGCCTATTTTCGGCGGCGAGCGAGGGGGGGAAATAGGAGGGAGAAGGCCTTCTCAGAAGGCGGCGGGACTTCTCAGAAGCCCTCGCGCCCTCTGAGAGGTTTCCTGTGCCTTCGGGGAGCGCTTAGAACACTTCTCAGAGGCCGGGGGGCTTCCGAGCCTTCTGAAAATGCCCGCCCCTTCTAACTTCTCCCTCTCGCTCGCCGTCGACATCTGCAGACACAGGTGACACACTCGCCTGCATGTAGTGCTGACAGGCGGCAGTCGTGGCCGCTCGTCAGATTTCTAGCGGTGCGACGCCCGACGCAGACGCAGCTGGGGTTCCCGCCTGCCCTGGGCGGTGCGATGCCCACGCAGGCGCAACCACATCGGCCGCTCGTGGAGAGTGACCCTTCGCCAGGGTGACATCTGGTGCGCGGCTTTCGGGGGGCGCGGGGGCTCAAACGCGAGCAGGCCGGCCGCAGCTGTCGCATCGCAGGCAGCGATCAGCAAGTTGCGCACCAGAGGTCATTTTTGCCCATTAGGGTAACTCCTTGCATGTACCCGAGCATATGTGCTGGCAAGCGCCCCCATCAGGTCGGGTGCGACCCTTGCTTGGGATACTATGACGACGGATGCATCACATCAGGAGGACCAGCAGAAGCACCTGAGAGGTCCCCGCGAGGCCCAAAGCGGCCAGCAACTGACCAAGCACGTTCTGCAATCGGCGGCGCCCCAGCATCCCAATGCTATGTGTGCGTCGCCCCTCCAGGGGCGGCGCGCGCACTGAGAAATCTTCTAGCATATGCATCGTGGCGGGCGCTCTCTGGCCGTGCCGCTCGGGAAACGACCTGCTACAGGATGGGTTCTGCTGTCTGACATCGGGTCGGACGCGCGCCTCCGAGGAGGACGCACGGTACTAGCATGCTGCTGTGCGCCCCCTGCGACTCCCCCCCCCTCTCGACCCTTCGCTGGGGAGCTCCCGAACGAAGTGAACCCCACCCTCCCCCTCAGAAATCGTGGGGGGTAGGGGTAGGGTTCGCGGTTGGCCCCCTACAGGAGGAGCCCCGAGCCCCTCCCGGGGCGCCTATACTGGCCAACCCGTCGCAGAGCCGCGTCCGGCCGTGGCGGCGGGGACCCCCCCCCCCCTCCGGGCCCCCCCCAGAAGTCCCCCCCACTCCCTCCGAGGCGGAGGCGCTGGGGCCGGGAGCAAGACCTAGCAACACAGAGGCCTAGTGGCCCAGTGGCCCGAGGATTCGAGCAGGCAGAACTCTGCTGTGCCCAGGAAGTGAGTGTCCCCATCGACCCTAGTACAAATACGTAGACCTGTTTTAGATTCCCCGTAGATTCGACGACGAACACATTTTTCGGGATGGACAGACCTCCCTTTAGTAAAACGCGGTTTAGTGAAAACGACTTCGGGCCCAAGGCTGGCGGGCGCAAGCCTGAAATAATAACGGCCGCGGCGCCATCTCGAGAACCGAAAGCGGACAATCCACTAATCGACGTGTCAGGGTAGGAGGTCTGTCCACCTCCGAATTTCTTTTTGTGAAACAGTTCTGTAGTCCATCCCCTGCCCGAAGGATGGTTGTTGTCCATGCCGTCAGCTTTGCTCGGGGGTCCTCTCGACTGCCCCCCCCCCCCTGCCACGGTGCGGGCCAAGGTGCGACCGATGGCGTCCCCCCACCCACAGATTGCACCGCTTTCGCCTCGAGAGTCCGCCAGTCGGCTTGAGGAGGCCAGGGTGTTCCGTAGCTTTTTATCGAGCGTGCCCCCCTACAGGGGGATTTTCGACGAAAAATACAAGTACCCCAAACATAATCAAACATTGGTATAACAATAATCTGGGGACTATTGTTGTAGTATGTTTAAACCTTTTTGGAATAGTTTGGGTGCATTTTCGGCGAAAAATAAAAGGTACACCAAGAGACGTCAAACAATAGTCCAAAACTAGTCCAGGGAGTATTTTTTCTGATTTTTTTGCCATTTTGGAATATGTTTTGAATATTATTTATTTTTCGTCGAAAATCCCCTTGTAGGGGGACACGCCCGACTGAACCGCAGCTGGTCTTCGCGGAGTGCTGCGTGCGTGTGCGCCGTCGACCTGCGGCCTCGGCGGGGGAAGCGCCGTCGGGCGGCCGCAGAGCTCGGCAGCAGCAGCAGCGATGTTCGCCGTAGCGTTTCTCTCGTCCGTAGTGCTGCATTGAGTCTCAACCTGCTATGCCACCAAGGGCACTTCTGGGGTAGGCAGAGCCCCAGAGAGCCACCAGAGACACGCCAGAGGCCCAGGCCCAGCGCTCACGACGAAGACATCTTTATCATCATCATCCTCATCCTCATCCTCATCATCCTCATCATCATCATCTCATCATCATCATCATCATCCTCATCATCATCATCATCATCATCATCATCATCATCATCGTCACCGTCATCGTCATCATCATCATCATCATCATCATCAGCAGCAGCAGCAGCAGCAGCAGCAGCAGCAGCAGCATCAGCTCCACCACCATCGTCATCGCCCCCCCGCGGGGTGGTGTTTCTTCGGGGCGCCGCGGGAGACCCCTGAGGCAGCAAAGCTGAGCGCGCGCGCCCGCGGGAGCTATAGGTGCACAAAACCACCATAATAGGAGGAGGAGGAGGAGGAGGAGGAGGAGGAGGAGGTGGAGGAGGAGGAGGAACGCAACGATCCCAAATCCATGTCCGTGCAACGTCAAACGAGGAGGAGGAGGAGGAGGAGGAGGAGGAGGAGGAGGAGGAGGAGGAGCAGCAGGAGCAGGAGGAGGAGGAGGAGGAGGAGGAGGAGGAGGAGAAGCAGGAGCAGGAGCAGGAGCAGGCGCAGGAGAAGGAGAAGCAGGAGCAGGAGCAGGAGCAGGCGCAGGCGCAGGCGCAGGAGCAGGCGCAGGAGGCGGAGGAGGGCGCCCCAAAACACTCAACCCAAGGCCCCTGGCGACTGGTTTGGTCGGGCCAGGCCCCCTCCCCGAGGTGCTCGACGCGCTCAGCCGGCGGCTCTGGCCGCCCGGGCCCGGCGGCGCCGAGGTGGTGCCCGACGGTGAGCTGCTCCAGGAGCTGGCCGCGCAGGCTCGGACGAAGAATGATGGGTGGGTGGGGCGGTGTATCGAGCCCTCCCAGATGGGGTCCGAGCAGACCGGGTCGGAGGATCGCGCCGCGTCGCCGCTGCATCGGCGAGGCGGCTCGGTGTGGAGCCCGATCTTCTCCACGCGGACGTCGGCGCTGCATCGCCGACGTCGCCGATGCATCGGCGATGCATTCGCGATACGGTGCAATCATCCGGCCCATCTGCTGAGACCTCTTCTAGTGTTTAGTAGGCCTCCACAGCGGGGGTGTCAGTGCAGACGCCCTCCTACCCCAAAACAAAATCATCAATGAACGGTGTTGTCCTATTTTCGGCCTTCGGGGACCCTCCCGGGGCTCTTGGACTCACAAGCCACGACTAGGTGTGAAAGTTGGTCCCAATTATTTTGGGTTCGACGTTGTGAAGAACATTATTTTCTAAACTAAAAAAGACGTCGCGGGTCTAGGTAGTTGGCGCCCTCCGAGAAGAGCCAGAGAAACGTCAAGCAAGACCAGAAGCATCATTCGGGAGCCTCCCATCCCCGATCCTCGAGGGCAAGAAGGGGGGAGGAGGAGGATGAGGAGCAGGATGAGGGGGAGGAGGAGGAGGAGGAGGAGGAGGAGAGGGAGGAGAGGAGGAGGAGGAGGAGGAGGAGGGGAGGAGGGGGGGAGCAGGAGGGACTGGGGAAGCTGCCCGCGGCGCGGGCGGGCACGCCGCAGGGGCTGCTCCCCAGCTCCCCCGGCCACAGCGGCGGCTTCTTGCGTGGCGGGGCGCCGCCCCGCGCACCAGCCTGCCGCGCATGGAAGCAGCGCACATGCTCGTCTTGATTCTCAAGAGAAGAAGAATGCATGGGCGTTACCTCCTCCTCCTCCTCCTCCTCCTCCTGCTCCTGCGCCTCCCTTCTCCTTCTCGCCCTCCTCCCCCTGTTCCCCTCCCCCGCCCCTCCTCGTCCTCCTGCTCCCCCCTCCTCCGCCGTCTCTTATCGCACATCGCCAGCTTCGCGTTGCGCTGCGTGGGAGGTCTACTGACACCGACTTTGGCCCGTTACCGCTCCGCTGCCGCTTTCCCTCGGGCCGCGCCAGCTCGCCGCAGGGAGCGCTGGCGCCGTGCGGTCAGGGGCGAGGTTCGGGGGGGGGGGGACTGGCCCAGAGGGGGGTGGGACGTTTCGGGTTACAGTGGAGACCCACGCCACGAAACACCCTGCTTGCCTCCAGTGGTGTCGATGGCCTTGCTGTCGATGGCCTTGCTGTGTCAGGCGCGACGCTCCCAGACCAAACACCGAGGGACGTCCTGGGGTCTCAGGGTTGGGTTTCTAGTGGCAGGTGCTTCGTGGACTGGCCTCCACTGGAAGCCTTCGACGGCAAGTGCGGATTTCTTGGACCTGCGCTGGAGCCCCCCTGGCTGCGCCTCCGGCGCCGCCCCCGGCGCACTCCGCGCAGATCCCAGGCAGCCGCGCGGACCGTGGAAAGTTCATGTTTCACCGCATCCCCCAGATAATGAAGGATCCCCCCTTGACCCCTTGTACCATGAAGCCCCATGTATGTCGTGTTCTGCTCCCCCTCTTGTTCATGCCGCTCCCGCCTGTGCTCTGTCTCCCCAATTAGAGCTTTGCGTAGCCCGCCTAGCTTTTAACCGGAACAGGCTCGCTCTCGACCCGCCGACCGCCCCCCCCCAAAAAAGAAGAAGTTTATGTCGCTCCTGTTCTCCCTCTCTTGTTCGCGTGAAGGCCTCTCTTCGCGAGGCGTCCTGAAGCCCCCCCCCCTTGCTCACGTTTCTGCTCCTTCCTCTGCGGAAGCCCTCGTCGCCGCCACTCCTCGGGGGCAGGCGGCTCTGGCTTCGGCCGCGGGCCCGCAGCCCCGCGGAGGCGCGGGGCTCCCAAGACGGCGAAGGCTCCCTTCCCCCCCCCCCCCGCGGGAGGCCCCCCCCCGCGGTCTCGGCTGCCCGGGGGCGGGGCAGGCCGCCGCGCCCGGAGGGAGGGCGCCTTTCCTGGACCGGGAGCCTGGAGACGGGGGTCCTCCTGCTCCTCCTCCTCCTCCTCCTCCTCCTCCTACTCCTCCTCCTCCTCCTCCTCCCCCTCCCTCCTCCCTCCTGCTCCTGCTCCTCCTCCTCCTCCTCCTCCTCCTCCTCCTCCTCCTCCATCCCCTTCTCCCCACCTCCCCCTCCTCCTCCTTTCCTCCTCCTCCTCCTCCTCCTCCTCCTCCTCCTCCTCCTCCTCCTCCTCCTCCTCCTCATCGGGCCAGCCAGAGCGCCCGATCTGGCAGGATCCTGCAGGGCCAGGGTCGCATTGATCCAGGTGTGAGGAAAAGGATCCTGGAGGATCCTGCAGGTCGACCCGGGTTTGGACGCATGCTCCTGCGGGATCTTGCAGCTGCAAGGCCTGACTGACCCGGGTCTGGACTGACACGGGTCAGGAGATCCGTGACCAGAGCAGTCTCTGTGGTGGGGGAGGCGGCGGGATGGTGGGGTGGGATGGGTTGGCATGCAGCGATGGGGGGCAGGGGAGGAAGGGCAGGGCTCATTTCGACTTCCCTGATTCGATTCCATTCGACTTCGGTGGTTTGTCCGATGCCGACTCGATTCGGCCCCGGGTTCCGATGTGGGCTCCGATTTCTCAGCGGAGGCCTGCTAGCCTGCCGATCTCCGTCGATTCGACTTTTCTCGACTCGGCTGCCGATTTCTGCTGTTCGACTCGTGTCAATCGCCGATCCGACTTGTTGATTCGATTTTGGGCTCTCCTGGGGGGGAGGGGGCAGTGAGCGAGAAGGAGGATTTTGTGATTGGGGTGGGCTGGAGAATGATGGAGGGAGGATGGCGCTGACGATGCCGATGCCGATGCCGATGCCCGTAGCATGCTGAGCGTACTTGGCACTCGTAACTGGTAACTGGCTCGCCCACTGGTGGGGCAGGTGGACGGACGAGGAAGGGCTGGGTCCAGGAGGACAGGAGGGGAGGGGGCAGTGAGCGAATGGGTGATTTAGGGAAGGGGGGGGTGGGCTGGAGAAAGGAGAGAGGAGGGAGCTGGCAGGAGGAGGAGGGTGGTGGAGGAGTGTGGAAGGGGCTCTCCCCCATCATCCTCCATTCTGCCTCCCCTCCCTTCCCTCTTCCTTCCTGTTCTCCCCTTTTTTCAAGCCTCCATCCTTCCTCCCTCCTCGATTGCCATTTCCGGTCCCTGCTCCCCCCACAAGTTTCCCGCCGCCTTCCTCCCTCCCCCCTTGTCCTTTTCCCCCGTCCTACCTCCCCCCTCCCTCCCTCCTCCCCGCGTCCTCCTTCTCCCCCGACGCTGGTAGATCGGTGGTCGGCAACCTTCCCAATCCAGCACAAACCCGCTCCGTGCCGATCGATCCAGCCTGATCTGGCATTATCCAGTGCTCCATCTGGGCTCATCTGGCTTGATGGGACCTCAGTCGGGCCGAACAGCCTCATAATTTTGTTCAATGCCTTTCCCGACGTCGCCTGCTGACGCTTCCCTTTCTCCCCCCCACCCGCTCCTGCAGTGTGGGCATGTTCTAGTGCTCTGTGCTCTTCAACTTTGGTTTCGTCTCAGCTGTGGGTGCGCCGTGAAGCGCCTTGGGGCCAGCTGACCCGAGTCGGTTTTCCGCTCGCAGGGGTGCCCCCCCTGGAGGAGGAGGAGGAGGAGGAAGAGGAGGAGGAGGAGGAGGCGGAGGAGGAGGAGGAGGAGGAGGAGGAGCCCCTCCCTCTCCCCTTCCCACCACGAGATGACCAGTCAGAACACTACCTACATCCCTTGGATGGGCATCACCTTATCTCGGTGCCGATCTTAAGGAGTCCCTCGGTTTCCGCGGACGCATCCCCAGTATTCTATTTGCTCTGTTTGGCTTGTCAATCTGAGGGATCGGGATCAGGTCGAAGTTGCTTGCGAAGCCTCCCCTCTCGCCGCGAGATTCCGAGATTCCCCCCCCCTACCCCCCGCCGCTTGCGCAGAGAAGCCCCTCCCCGCTCCCCGCCCGCAGGGCGTGCTGGCACAGACCCGGCTGGCCCTCGACTCCGCGCTGGCCGCTGCGGCGGAGCGGAACGGGTCGCAGATGGACAGGAGTCGGATTCCCGAAAAGGCCGCAGCGCAAGACCCATTATAGAGAAGGCAGAGAGAGAGGCTGGTATATATATATATGTGTATATATATAAAGATAAATATATATACATACTTACCTACCTACCTACCTACCTACCTACCTACCTACCTACCTACATACATACATGCATACATGCATGCATACATACACACATACATACATACGCACCTGCCTACCTACCCACCTACCTACTTACCTACCTACCTACCTACCTACCTACCTACCTACCTACCAACCTACCTACCTACCTACCTACCTACCTACCTACCTGCCTGCCTGCCTGCCTACCTACCTACCTACCTACCTACCTACCTACCTACACATATACATATATATATATATATATATATATCCTGTGGCGCAGGATGGTCGCTGCCCGCCCACCTACCCCGGGCTGACGGTAAAGATCATGCGCGTGGGGGGGGGGGGGGGG